ATGGGATAGAACCATATACTACTATTTTTTTTTGTCCACCATCCTTGAGTGGACATCCTTAGCATTTGACTACTAGCTTGAAGGTCAGAGGTTTGAACTCACTCAGAGGTGTGTGGAAGGCAGGCTTGGCAATCTGCTTCTGAAAGGTCACAGCTTTGAAACTTCTGAGTTATAACTGTTAGCTCAACTCCTTTCCTCCAGCATCAGTGTGATATTTGGCCATAACAGTAAAATTTATACATTTTGGCAAGTTTTCTACATCTAACTCTAATAAAAACCTTAAGTGTCCTCAGCATTGAAAAGATGCAGCATGCTCTCTAGTGCCCTCTAATGGTCATAACTAGTCACTTCACACATGTCCACTTGAGGGATTGAACTTTGACCTGTAGCACCTGTTCTAAAGGCATCTTTTCCATATCATAGTTGCACCAGCCTTCTTCAGCTTTGTGTCCAGCACTTTCTTCAGCCATGACAAACAACTAGTGCTACATGTTTAATTCAACAGGTATTTCTGATCATTTGCTATAAACACAGCTACCAAAACCCACTGCCATCAAGTTAATTCTGACTCATAGTGACCCCCACTGGGTTTCCGAGGTAGTACCTCGGAATCTACTACTAGTACAGTAGTAGATTGCCCAGTCTTGCTTCCATGGAGTGGCTGGCAGGTTTGAACCACCAACTTTCTGGTTAGCAGTCAGATGCCTTAGGCACTGTGCTACCAGAGCTCCTTATACACAGCTACTAGGAACTCATTAGGAGCTCTGGTAGCATAGTGCCTAAGGCACTTGACTGCTAACCAGAAGGCTGGCGCCAGCCACTCCTCGGAAGGAAGGTTGGGCAATCCTACTTCCGTAGTGATACTGCCTCGGAAACCCAAGGAGGGGTCACTATGAGTTGGGGTCACTATGAGTTGGGGTCAACTCGACGGCATGTAACAGGAACTCTTTATCTATAGGATGAGACCATCACAGTGCTGGTACACTACAGAAAATCAAACGTTTACTAAACAAGGATGCAGAAGCCAAAGTGCATGAATGACAAGCATGTAAGCAGGCAGTCTGTGCTAAAGGAGGAAGAAAAACAATTTGTCTGGTTTGGGGTAGGCAGAGGTCAAGCTGGGAAGGCTTACTGGAGATGGGATTTTGAAATACTCATGTGTTACTCCAGGCCCTCCAAAAATCAGATGCCAAGATGGGATTAGGGATCCATATTTATCAGGGTAAACACCTGTGAGGGAAACGGAGCTAGAGAAGACGAGGATAGCCAGCAGACTGCCCTGCACAGCTGACTATCCACTGCTCTTTTCCAGGAAGGAAAGAAAGAAGACTGGGGGGAAGCAGCCTAGAGTGCAGTACAAGTCTGTAAATGTTCAGTCAAGTCAATGGGAAGTCCGTGAATCTAAAACTCGGTATCCACTTTTTAAAAATACTCTTAGCAAACTAGGACAAGAAAGGAAATTTGTTAACCTGACAAAGAATATCTACCAAAAAAAGAAAAAAACCTTCAGCAAGCTTTTTAAAGTTTCTTTAAAATCACAAAGTATGCCCTCTTTCATCACTTTCATTCAAAATTGTACTAGAGGTCCAAGCCAGTTAATCAAAGCAAGAAAAAGAAATGAAAGGTTTAACAATTAGAAATGAAGAAACAAAACTCATTATTTATGGATGATAGGATACTTTCTTAGAAGATCCAAAAGAAGCATAAGAGAACTTTACAAAGTTGAAAATCAATATACAGAAACCAAATATATTTTCTATTAACCAGTAACAAAATCCAAAGATCAATTTTTAATACAATTTACGTTTTAAAAAATGTTAAGTATCTAAAAATGAACTCTAACAAATTGCGTGAAGACATCTTTGAGGGAAAATAGGAAAAAAATTAAAGATCTGTATAGAGTGTGATAGTTAAGGTTGTGTGTCAACTTGGTTGGGCCTGGTTGAGTGGCTGGGCAGCTGATGGTAGTTATTCCCCGTGATGAGACTGGCAATCAACTCCATGGTAGAATCTGCCACAAGCAGCTAAGTAGCTGCTTTAAGGATGTGATCTGCTTCCCATATATAAGGAGCAGCTTTGGGAAGGGTCTGCAGCTTTTTGGCACACTTGGACTCTGCATGTAGCCAAGTCATTGGTGAGCAGCCAACCATGCTCTACCAATCTTGGAACTTAAATTAATGGCCTGCCTGTGGTTTGGTAATAACAGGACTGTGCCTTTTTAACTTGTCCACCTTGGGTTTGTCAGTCTCAGCAGCTAGCAGCTGCCTGAGTGAAGAAAAGCCTCCAACTTCAATGGACAGGGAGCAAGAGGCGGAGCTGAAGCCAAAGGTTGGGCTTTCATCCGGCTCCTGGAGCCTGGCATTTTGAACTTGGACCTCTCACCTCCAGAACTGTAAGAGAATAAACTCCTGTTTGTTAAAGCCTTACCATTTGTGGTCTATTCCTATTGGAGTTGCACTGGGTAACCAAAACATGGAGAGACGTATCATATCCATAGATTATAAAACTCAATACTGTAAAAACTTCATCTCTCCCCATATAAACATACAGAATCAGTGTAATCCCAATCAGAATTCTAATACAATTATCATGGGATTTGACAGGCTGTTTCTGTATATGGAAATCCGAAAGACAAAAAAACACTCATGTCAAACTCCATTCAGAGAAAAAAACATTTTAGGTACAGATATAAAGATGAAGAGACACAGGTAAGAACATAAAAGTATCTCCGGTTAGTATAAAGGGGTTGGCTGTCTTCCAAATCTCTTGGCATAACTGAGTGAGTGCCTCCAATGGGGCATCCATTTGTTGAAATATTCCGTCAATTCCCAAAGCCTTGTTCTTCGCCAATTCTTTCATCGCAGCTTTGACTTCCTCCTTCAGTATCATTGGTTCTAGATCATATGCCACTTCCTGAAATGGATGAAGATCTACCAGTTCTTTTGGTACAGTGATTCTGTATATTCCTGCCATCTTCTCTTGAATGTTTCCTGCACCATTCAATATTTTGCCTATAGAATCTCTCAATATTGCAACTCAAGGCTTAATCTTTTTCTTCAGTTCTTTCAGCTTGAGAAATGACCAGCATGTTCTTCCCTTTTGGTTTTCAAACTCCAGGTGTTTGCACATTTCATTACATTAATTGGTTTTGTCTGCTCAAGCTGCTCTTTGAAATGTTCTGTTCAGCTCCTTTGTCATTTCTTCCATTTGCTTTAGCTTCTCTCCATTCAAGGGCAAGTTTCAGAGTCTCTTCTATCATCCATTTTGGTCTTCTTTTCTCATCTTTTTAGTGATCTCTTGCTTTCTTCATGGATAATGTTCTTGATATCCTCCACAATTCTCCTGGTTTTTGTTCATTGGTGTTCAATGCATCAAATCTATTCTTTAGGTGATCTCTAAATTCAGGAGGGATATATTCTAGATCATATTTTGGCTCTCTTGGACTTGTTTTAATTGTCTAACTTCAAGTTGAATTTGCATATGAGCAGTTGATGGTCTGTTCCACAATCAGCTCCTGGCCTGGTTTTGGCTGAAGATAGTGAGCTTTTCCACCACCTCTTGAAACAGATGTAGTCAATCTGATTTCTGTGTGTTCCATCTGGTGAAATCCACATGTAGAGCCACCGTTTATGTTGTTGAAAAAAAAGTGTTTGCAAGGAACAAGTCATTGGTCTTACAAAATTCTACCATGAGAGTTCCAGCATTATTTCCGTCACCAAGGCCAAATTTTCCAACTACCGGTGATTCTTCTGTTTCCAACTTTTGAATTCCAGTTACCAGTGATAATTAACACATCCTGATTGCATGTTTGGTCAATTTCAGACTGCAGAAATTGGTAAAAATCTTCAATTTCCTCATCTTTGGCTTTGGTGGTTGGGGCATAAATTTGAATAATAGTCATATTAACAGGTCTTCCTTGTAGGCGTATGGATATTATCTTATCACTGACAACATTGTACTTCAGGACAGGTCTTGGAACATCTTTTGTTACAATGAATGCCACGCCATTCCTCTTCAAACTGTCATTCCCGGCATAGTAGATCACATGGTTGTCTGATTCAAAATGGCCAAAACCAGTCCATTTCAGCTCACTAATGCCGAGGATATCAATCTTTATGCGTTCCATTTCATTTTTGACAACTTCCAATTTTCCTAGATTCATACTTTGTACATTCCATGTTCCAATGATTATTAGACGTCTCCAGCTGTTTCTCTTCAATTTGAGTGGTGCCACATCAGCAAATGATGGTCTTGAAAGCTTTACCTTATCCATGAGTAAGGCTGGGTTTACTCAGATGATGCAGCTCTTTCCGCAGCTCTTTCCCAGTCCAAATTTCCCAGAATTTGGGAAGAAGTACTTTGTAAAACTGGGATGCCACCCTTCAGGGTATAGTGTATCTACTAAATCAAAGACCTCTCTACATAGTGTTTTGTTGCAATCAAAGGATAAATCAATGCAGGAACCAAGAAGTAGAAGCAGTGCCCCTACTACTCCCAATGACCCTCAGCGCTATTTTTGTGCTACTCGATCCCACAACTCTAGGCTCTGTAGTTAGAGGTCTTGGTCCCAAAAGGGAGTACAAGTTTGCCAGGGTACACAGCAAGAATCCAGCATCAAAATGATCTTGAAGTGTTGTGGCAACAATTTATTTCTACCTCTGATTCACCATCAGGCCCAATTTCTCTGTATGTTTCACATATAAAACCTACCCCAAGAGAATTTTGAGACGGCAACCATAGAATGGGTACGGGGCAAAACACAAAAAAGATGAAAAGAGGGAAGGTATCTAACGTAGTAATCTTTAACGTAAGTCCCATCCTTCTCATTTACTGAAAGGTTTTTACTTTATCCTCCAAACTAAAACAAGTTACCGAAAATGTATTTACTTCTTGAGATAGAAGTGGATCTATCCTGTTTTCCTTCCCCACCACAAACAGCTCCCTAAGATCACCACCTTAAAAAAAGACTCAAATACAAACAAAGCATGTGCTTCAATTCAGATTATTTTACATTTTCATAATATTCTCTTCAACATTTAACAGAAATGATACACAACAGATTTTCACTGTATCTTACATAACATTGCCACTACAGAAATTTACATGGATTAGAAACAAAAAGATGGTTAAGGGGGTCCAGTCCTACAGGCTATTTTCTCCTAGAGGACATATGTCAGAGTTCACTGGGAGAAGGGCATTCAGATTGCCCAATCAGGTGATAGGTGAGGAAAGGCTAAAACGTAGGCTGTTGGGTAGAGATAACCAGAAAGTGGGTCCATCAATATCCCAGGGCACCACTCATAGACACAGGTTCCACCTAATCACCTATGTGGATTCCAGTCCATGACGTGGGAATCCCATTATATAAAGATGTCTCTTTCCCCTTAGGCCCAGCCCCAAATACTTACTCAATCCTAACAGCTCCAAGAAGGATCACCTGTCTCTCTTCCTTGCCCAGAGTAGGAAGAAACCCACAACTTTCAGACATTATTGGTCCATTCCCCATAATTTGGTTTAACTATAGTACTCAACAACCCAGAAGTGAAACAAGTAGATGGGGTTGTCTTTGTTTAGTGAGAAATGGTCAGAAATACTTGTTTGGAAAATGGGAAATTTAAATCCTCCAAAGTCAAATGGTTCCCAAACCAAACTATCAACTGATGGAAGTCGGTTCTGCTTTCCCATTTGCAGTAGCAACTCCACTTTGAGGCAGCAATGCAGAGGCTTTCTCACAATTTCGAGATCCCTGGGATCTGCATCCATCTACCTCCATCTGCATCTGGCCCTGTTAAAATAAATAAAGGTACTTCGTTACAAATTCATTCATTATGATTTGAAGCATAAAACTGATTCAGCAATGTCCCTTTATGGTGGCAACAAGACAGCACAAATAAAATAACTGGAAAATTGCCCCAAATTTAGCTATCCCTGTCCCTTAAGAGTCAGCACCTATTACTAAGTAGCATTCCCAAGGCTCTCCCAATGGGAGGGAGCCAGCTGTGAGTTGTTTCTTCCAAATGAAATGGCCATTCTCTGAATATTCCAGAATAGCCAAAAGACCACAGGAAGACAGTCCTCTGGGCCTCTGCTTGAAACCAGCAGCTATAATATAACTACTGGTCTTCAGTCAGGGCCTGCTGCCGGTATTCTACCCAAGGCTCAGAGAAAAAAGCCAAATCACACTACTTGCCCTTACTCTGCAAGAACAATTCCAATGCTGAACCACCCCCCCAAAAAAAATAAACAATTTACCTAAATTCTTTCCCTCAACTTTTTCTAGTTAACTAAATAAATTATGTATTATTCTCTGGGATACACGAGCCAGAGACCACCGTTAAGGTGTTCTATGAGCCCATCTAGAGAACTAGAGAAACAAGGGCATTCAGGAACAGAAAAATGTATTTTTTTAAGTACCTTCCTTATACGGTATCACTGAGTGAAAGCCATCTGGGGCATCTTTATATTCTACTTGTGATGATACCCTCACTCCCTGGGAGTTCAGTTTAGCCAGCAGGGAGCCCTCTGCCTGGTTGGGTCACTACATGAGGGAAGCCTGGCTAGGGTTGTTCTTCACTTGCCAATATATCCACTGGGCCTTCAGCAATTTCTTTGACTGAATGATCTTCGAGAGTTAGTGAAGGATCAAAAAGCAAGGGTGAAGGAGGGCACTGCAACCCATCACCCACAACATCCAAGTCCTAGGAAAAGAAAGAGAAAAGCCCATCAGCAATAACAAGGGAACCAATAAACTGAAGTTGGAGTATTTTTCAGGAACTCTCAAAGCACTTCAACCATCCTTCACCCTTCCATCTTGCCTTCATTTAATTAAAATTCCCCAGTGTCCAACCAACAGAAAAGATTCAACAGCACTGAAAATTTTGCTTCTGAGTATAAAGTATAGCACAGACCACTTTTAAAAAGAGGCTATTCCCTCCAAGGCTAACTGTAGTCAACATCTAGATGTAAAAGTGCAAAGAGCACTTCACCAAAACCTCATCTAAACTGTATTTACTTCTTTTCCAGATGAACTGCTAATAAATTATAGCAGATTTTCCCAGTATAGCACAGACTTCAATTAATTACCAAATGGAAGACAGACAAGCAGGATTAACTACTAATTTGAAGATCAAGATCCAACACTACTAACTTGCAGTGCTGCTCTAGGTGACTCTAATACGGACAATCAGTATGACTGCAAATTTTAAGAAATAAAACTGCTTAAAAATATTGGGCAATGAGATTGCTTAATTAATACCTTAACAAAGGAAACAAGTGAGCACGACAGAAAGGAAGGGAGGGTAGAAAACTCAAAGTTCCTTTGGGCAGAAAATAAAAAACACTAGTTTGGTTAAGTCCCTATCCCCATAGAGTCAACCTAATGCAGTCCAATTGCTCTATAAAAAAGAAGTAAAAAATAGGGGAGAGAAGATATAAGAGAACTCTCTATACCTTCTGCTCTATTTTGCTGAAAACTGAAAACTGCTCTAAACAAACAGTCTACTAAAAAACAAAGTAATGGCATTATATCCTACAGAGTATGTTCCTTCCAACTGAACCACCATTCCCCACACTAGACCACAGGAAGATATGCTCTCAGCTCCTGTTTAAAACCAACAGCTACAGCAAACCACTGGTCTTGATTCAGGGCCAAAGGCACTACAGAAACACAGACAAAGCATCAAATTTTATGCCACTGCTTTCCAAGAGCCTAATGCTAAACTCTCCCAATAGTTAAAAACACCCGGGGGTGTACTTCCCTAAGCCCACTTCATTTTATAGAAATTCTATGTTTCCAGTAACCTAACTACATGAGCAGCTTAGTTCCATGCTTTTAAAGTCTAAAAGAGTTTGCTATCTTTTCCTTTTTTCAGTGTCCTGTTGTTGTTGTTATGTGCCGTTGAGTTGGAACCAACTCATAGGGACCCCTCCTTGGGTTGTCAAGGCAGTATCACTACGGAAGTAGATTGCCCTAATCACCAAAAATGACAACCATAACATCTTCATAATAATTAAGGAATATAACAAGAACTTCCTAGACTTAAAGCAGCTCAATTTAAGAAGAAATGTAAGTAAAAGGATACAGTAATCTACCTAATGTCCTACTCACTTGTTTGAAAACTTCTATACCACAGGTGTTCCCCACTATGCAAAAGTAAAGTGCACCTTTCTTAAGCCCAAATAGCATAAAGAGAAGCAGCAACTGCCATTAATTTATATGGGATAAAATTGCGAGTGTTCCTAGATCCAAAAAAATAATCTACCAAATCATAACAAATAACACATAAAACCTAAAATACAGTGTTCATAGACACAGTTCAAAGCTATGGAAGCTTGATGCTGATTATAGTTCCCAAGAAAGGAGCTTGGAAGGAGCTTGGCAATGTCACTCTCGCTGCATAGTGATTAAAACAGCTTTCCCTTAATCAAAAGGTCGGTGGTTCGACTCCACCAGCTGTTCCATGAGAGAACGATGAGGCAGTATGCTTCCCTAAAGATTAACACCTTTGGAAACCCTTTAGGGCAATTCTACTCCATCCTATAGTCACTATGAGTCAGAACTGACTTGAAGGTAGCAGGTTTGGGTTAATGCAAGAAAAGGCTCAAAGCCTTTTCAATGATTTAAAGGCTGTATACACAGCAAGTTAAAGGTGACTGTGATGAAGAATTCGTTGCAAGTGAGGGTTTGTTCAATCGAGGGCAAATTTATGTAACATTAAAGGGCAAGTAGTTGTTGTTCATAAATTGGGCATTTGTAACCTGGGGACTGCCTGAATCATGAAACTTAAAAACTTTATCTTTAGAAAAAATAAGAGGTAAAGATTAAGCAAAGACCCAAGATAAAGATAGAATGCTTACTGATCCCTAAAATCAAATACTCCAACTCCAAAAACCAAACTCACTGCCAACAAGTTGATTCTGACTCACAGCTACCCCCACTGGGTTTTCCCAATTGGGTTTCCAAGGTTATAAATCTTTAAAGAAGCAGACTGCCTAATCTTTCTTCCACAGAGTGGCTGGTGGGTTCAAACCACTGACTTTTTGGTTAGCACCCAAATGCCTTAACAACTACACCACCAGAGCTCCTTAAAAATCAAAGACTAGCTTGGTGCCCATTAGGAAAACAAATGAAATCAGAGATGGGTTTGTGGAGCTGCAACCAATCAAGGAACAAGCTGAAAAACAAAATAATGATGTGTACACTAAGGCAGATATAAAAACAAACACTTTGGGCAGGTCAGTGTTGTTCTGATCTGGGCACATTAGAATTTGTAACAACACATCCAAAATAAAAGCAGTAGTGAGCTAAATTTAGAGTCATTTCTTGGAGAGCACATTAATCTTTACTACAGGGCCAACACTGTTGGTTTCTATAGACATCAGAATTATTTTATATATTAAGATTCTAATGAATCACTTATCTATGGATGGGTACCAAAGTGCCAGGCCATTCCAAATCTAACCATCATGCCATTTCAACTTGCCTTAGTTACAACTTTCCCCTACCACTCTCTCAGAAAAACTTCCGCAAATCTAAACTACGTGGTTTTAGAAGTGCCAAGATAGACGAACTAGAAAGAATTTTTTGGTTTTTCCTCTAAATGAAATCACTGATTTAAAAGTAAGTCCATTCCTGGATATATATCCAAGAAGTGAAAACATGTCCACACAAAAACCTACACAAAAGTGTTCAAAGGTTTCCTTATAATGTAGAGCATTCCTATGAAATCTTTTGTAAGCCAAAATGGCACAGTGCAAAGAAGTAACTGCCTTAAATTTATATGGGGAAAATTTTAAGCATTCTCAGACCCAAAAAATAACCTACCAAATCACACATAAAACCTAAAGTAACACTAACATATTGTATTCACTGACGTAATTCAAAGCTATGGCAGCTTGAAAATGAGTAGTTCCCAGCAAAGGAGCTTGGCGACACCATTCTACTAGGGTTATATGCTTGCTACCTATTTAACAGGTTGCTGGAAAACAAATGCTGGATGCTAGTTTCACTTTTCACCATTTTTTTGTGAAAAGTGAAAATATATGGATTTCTTTTGGATAGAGAAAACAGATCCTAATGTAGGTCTTTTATAAAACTGAACTGGCATAATAGACCTTCTAAAAATTAAATTTTTTGTGCTTCCAAAGACTTCTCCATAAGAGTCAAAAGAGAACCTACAGACTGGGAAAAAATATTTGGTAATAACATATCTGACAAGGGGCTTATCTCTAGAATTTATAGAAAATTCCAACACCTCAATAACAAAAAGACAAACAATCCAATTAAAAAATGGGCAGAAGACATGAATAGACACTTCACCAAGGAGGATATTCAAGTGGC